TTACGCGTTGGCGACGGCGAGTACCGCAGACGATGGAACGATGAGTTGTATGAGCTTAACAACCACGATTGAGAGAATACAAAGGTTGTGCCGATCTCGGACCGCTATTCCTCTCTTAACGAATTTGACAGAATCGTTGTTTGCATGACGTCACACTGGTGCAACTTGTTTACATTTCCCTTGCAAAATTTTTTCTTCTTCCATTCTTGCTCACGTTTTGGCATTTCTCTCTCGCAATTGCACCAGTGTGACGTCACACAAAAGTTATTCTCAAAAATCCTCTCGGCGCAATCTTGTATTCTATTATTCTTGCTTAACAACGATATGGACATATTGCAGCGAATTAAAATACAGCTGCTCCGCTGGCTTGGCCCTGTAGTTCGAATGGACACCGACGCTCCAGCTCTGAAAGTATTCAACTCCGAACCCGCTGGTGATAGCAGAGGAAGAGGGAGGCCCCCACTGCGATGGAAAGATCAGGTGGAGAAGGACTTGGCTTCACTTGGCGTTTCCAATTGGCGTCAGTTGGCACAGCGGAGAAACGACTGGCGTGCTTTGCTGAACTCGGGCAAAATCGCTTAGGCGGTCCAGCGCCAAAAAAGAAAAAGAAGTCAAGCCACACTCGAAGCTTTTCATTCTTACGAAATCAAGTCTGCACTGGTTTATAAGTGCGTAGAAAGACTAAATTCCTTAGCAGCGAACAACAGGGACTTCCTTTTATGGGTCCCAGGCCAAAAAGGCCATAGAGGGAAATGAAGAAGCAGACAGGCTTGCCAGGGAGGCGGTAGGACCTCACTCCATCAACGAAGAGCTTAGAAGAAAAGAAAGAGTACATACAGAACTGCGCTGGACGAAGTTACTGGGCAGCGCCAGTAATAGGAAAGGATATGAAAAACTTATTAACCTCCCAAAGAACAAACTAAGAATTTCATCTGGTATCTTAACAGGTCATTGTAGACTGACAAGTCACCTACACAATCTCGGGATCGGGTCCACTGATTCGCGCCGTTTCTGTGATAGGACCGCTGAAACTTCTGGAGCACATAATCCTCGCATGGGATGCAGTGGCGAGGAGACGAGAGAAATACGTAGGGTCAGTAAACAAGCAGCCGAATCACATGCTCTCGATGTCACCCAACAATCTACTGGATTTCCTAAGGGAGTTAGGACTGACCAAGATGCTGTAGGAAACAAGAGGGCACAATAAATCTCCTGGTCGAAGTGCATTCCTCAACTGAATATTTATCTATCTCTCTCTAGAGTGGTGCGAGTCTCTCGAGACAGACGAAGTTCTGTCTCGTCCTCATCGGGTGGTTGTGTTCCTAAAACGGCATTCACAGAGGAATTTCTGACTACACAGTTGCTTTCTTTCTATTCTCTATGATAAAATTAATTTTACAGGATTCTGGAGGAACTTGGAGTACGGGATAATTTTTCCTGTAACTTCCTGCAAGTTCGTGTAAAAGCCTGTAAGTCCTCTTTCAGACACGTCAAGTCTTGAAAGCAATTTTTTTCGCATTCTCTTTTGTGTTTTCTATTTGCTTCCACACGCGTCAACTTTAATTGAATTCAAGTCCTTGGTTCTTAAATGAGAAGCAACGAAAAGATCAAAAGAGACAAGAAAACTTGAAACGAATTGACGGTACGGAGGTATCTGTACTCTTCCCCTCTCTTCCCACCTCATTCTCCAACGAACGAGCAGGCTTGAAAGCAAGACTTGACGTGTCTGAAAGGGGACTAAGTTCATGGAGTCTCGTATAAGATTACAAATTAATTAAAACATCATAATATGGGTATCAAATGGAAGTATTTCAAAAATTCATTTTTAGTAAAAATATTTTTAATATGGTTGCCACCTATTTTAAATCGCATATTTATTTAAATTTTTGCTGATTTGCCCAAGAAATTAATACAAAAAAAAGATCAATCGTTTTCCTTGTGCACAAGTGAAGCTGATGCAGTGTTGCCAGTTTGCGAGATTTCGCCCTTATTTCGGGGTTTTATGACTAAAAAGGGCGAATGGGATTTTCTGTCGAGAAAGGGATTTTTTGCATGCCAAGCAATAAAATTTCTGAGTATTGGATAAATAAGAAGCAGCTTATTCAGTTGAAATTAATTTTAATAGCAAGATTTTGAGTCATACAGAAAGTAATTTGGAAGAATGTTTAGTGCATGATACAAAAAAGAAGATAGTTTCATTGTCACTTTTCGGACGCCGTATTAACTACCTGACAATTAAGCAGATTGTGACATTTCGTGCTGCCATACCTAGTCATCAATAATCATTTATTTATTTTGAAATAATTATTTACAAAATTAAAAGGAAATTTGTCTTCGATCTGAGCAATAACGAAAATGGAAACTCATAAATCGCCATATTTGAAAAACAAC